GATACATCATTATTTATAGTTTTGACTATGTTGTTGAAAATATATCTCACTAGACATTAGACTTCGAATGTCTGAATGGCAAGTCATGAAATACATTGAAAGTTTTGCATACCGATTATTTTCAAAACAACCGCGATCCCATATTCCATTTTAATTTGTCTTCTTTTAACCCCATGCATAAGACTTAGCATCTGCTGCTACGTTAGCATAATGATCACGTTTGCAAAAACAGGGTACAACTTTTTTATATGATTTGTGCAATGCATTTTTATAGAAAATTACACATAAAATATTTTGTGATGACGAATTATATTTGTTATGACTTTTTGTCTATAAATCAATCTAAAACAAGTTGCTTTCTTTAAAAAAAAGAAAAGCAACACGTGAACCGCAGACTGCCTGTTCACCAAAAGATTGTTGCTGAATTTGTGTTTGCTTTTGAATTGAAATTATTGACTGTGATTAGAAGAAGTCAGTTGAAAGTGTATATTTACATCTACTATTTGAATATACATTTTAAAGCTAGACTATTTTATTTAGTACTTGGGAATGTACGTAATTTTCCCGATGATAACCCTTTCGCAAATCCCAATTTCTACAAACCGGATGACTTATGCAAATTGCACAAACCAATCGCAATATAAATTTATGCACTCAGTTTCCTTTATAATCTGGAATTCTGCATGCATTTATTTTATCTATCATATCTTTATATTTTGCTTCATGCAACTGATTGGGACATCTTATAAAGAGACTTTTTTTGGTCTAATAAAACATCTCAAATTTTAAGGATTTCCTGATTTTACTTAAATCAATTCAAATATTCTACAGGGAAACTTGGTTTTGCCGAAGAATATCTTAATTCAGAAATTTTATGAATACCTGTACATACCCTCAAAATAACCAATTTATATAAAAAGGTATGTAGATATAAAAAGATACCAGAATAAAAATGATGTTCGCCAGACGCCAGCCTACAAAAAAGCACCAGTGACACTCAAACGAAAAAAGTTAAAAGGCCAAATAAATTACAAAGTTAAGGAATCTATTCCTTGGGTAGACAATCCTTAGCTTTTCGAAAGGTCAAGGTTTATTATAGGACAGTGATTAAAAAAAGAAACAAAAGAGAAACAGCTAGAGGTCAGAATACCGTAAGTAATAGTGACCGTGCATGAAAGTCACATGTCAATCTCTTACAGCCGTGTCCTAAATTTAGATAAGAAAAACGAAAATGCGCATTAACGAATGAAATTAGTATTATTGGAATTTTTGAGAACGCAAACCGATAGTGTGCGTTTGAAATGTGATCTATAATGCGAATGAATCAAGACGTGTAGGATAGTTGGGAAACACAGTGAATACAATTTTCAAAACCGTACCATAGTACAAATATGTAGATGTTATAAGGTTAAACTATTAAAACAAACAAACAAAAATAGAATTGAAATTTTATAATAAACATAGTTTACGTTCCTGTTAGTAATTTTTTTAATATATACTCTGATAATAATAACAACAAGTCTAAACTGAAAACAACGTTAAAACCTATGATTGCGTTGGATAAAAACCGCAATTTTTATACGTGTGCATGCAAAACAAATTTCTTGTTAGAGGGGTCTAAATACAGCACAAACAACATTTTCCAAAAGACCAAAAAAGTGAAAAAGTATATTTTAAAAAACGCATTTGACTAACAGGTCGAACAACAAATGTTCTTAAACCCTGCTGACTGCCATTGGCGATTGCCAAATAAACGGATCACAAGGTGTAATAAATGGATCTTAACTATAAATTTTATACCACACAGAAAACAGTAAACTTGCGGCGAAGATGGTATACCGCAAACAAAGGTGCAAAGATTTTTTGTACACCATATCCGGATTTCGACAATTAATGTCTCTTCAGTGATGTTAGGAATCGAAACGGTTATTGGAAGGCCACATAATTTACCTCAATTTAGGATAGACTCTTGAATTTTGAGGAGTCAAAATAGGATGAACGGATCATATTAACCCGAAGGCAAATATAATACAAGCCCAAACGAAAAAATATAAACAAGTCTAAATTGAAAATTACGTTCAAACCTATGATTGCGTTGGATAAAAACCGCAATTTTTATACGTGTGCATGCAAAACAAATTTCTTGTTAGAGGGGTCTAAATACAGCACAAACAACATTTTCCAAAAGACCAAAAAAGTGAAAAAGTATATTTTAACAAAACGCATTTGACTAACAGGTCGAACAACAAATGTTCTTAAACCCTGCTGACTGCCATTGGCGATTGCCAAATAAACGGATCACAAGGTGTAATAAATAGATCTTAACTATAAATTTTATACCAAACAGAAAACAGTAAACTTGCGGCGAAGATGGTATACCGCAAACAAAGGTGCAAAGATTTTTTGTACACCATATCCGGATTTCGACAATTAATGTCTCTTCAGTGATGTTAGGAATCGAAACGGTTATTGGAAGGCCACATAATTTACCTCAATTTAGGATAGACTCTTGAATTTTGAGGAGTCAAAATATGATGAACGGATCATATTAACCCGAAGGCAAATATAATACAAGCCCAAACGAAAAAATATAAACAAGTCTAAATTGAAAACAACGTTCAAACCTATGATTGCTTTGGATAAAAACCGCAATTTTTATACGTGTGCATGTAAAACAAATTTCTTGTTAGAGGGGTCTAAATACAGCACAAACAACATTTTCCAAAAGACCAAAAAAGTGAAAAAGTATATTTTAACAAAACGCATTTGACTAACAGGTCGAACAACAAATGTTCTTAAACCCTGCTGACTGCCATTGGCGATTGCCAAATAAACGGATCACAAGGTGTAATAAATGGATCTTAACTATAAATTTTATACCAAACGGAAAACAGTAAACTTGCGGCGAAGATGGTATACCGCAAACAAAGGTGCAAAGATTTTTTGTACACCATATCCGGATTTCGACAATTAATGTCTCTTCAGTGATGTTAGGAATCGAAACGGTTATTGGAAGGCCACATAATTTACCTCAATTTAGGATAGACTCTTGAATTTTGAGGAGTCAAAATAGGATGAACGGATCATATTAACCCGAACTCTGATAATAATATATGTATACATGTAGTATCAATAAACACAAACGTCAAGTATTTACGGACGGACATTTTATTTATCAAATGAATGTATGTCTAAATTTTACCATTCCACTATATGAATAGATTACTATACAAAATATAAGCAAAGACTTATAAATCCATACTAAAACAGTACAAAAAAAATAACATTATGATAGTACTTAATTAAATTTTGTTATGATTATTGTAAATTATTATTATGTTTTTTTGTGAGCTGCAAGGATTTAAATATTTAATTAATGTATCTTACTTTCCGTTTTATGGGTATATTACAATACAAAAAAATAAATAACAATTACTTATAAAACCTTACTAAAACGGTAGGAAATAATTAACCTAGAAATATAATTATTATTGTTTATCAACATTTTTTATGTATGATGCAAGGATTTATTCAGATTTAATTATTATGCATGTTTCATTTACAAATGAATATTTAAAAATACCGAACCAGAGTATCTTGTCATATAAATACTTATTTCTTAATTGCAACTCTGAAAATATTCTGACTTCAATTTAATATTTAGTTTCTACAGAAACATAAATACAGTATATATTTTGTATATATTTCTGTGATTTCTATTGAATTAATTAAATTGAATACTTTTGATAATAATATTATCTTTATGTTTTCCGATCTAATATACACATTTAAACCAGAATGTTCTCTCCTTAGTCTATGATGAAAATACACACGTGGTTAAATCGTCAGACATAGTTAGTTTACATGTTATCATGACAATGCACAATACCACGTTACAATTGACCTAGATACACACAGTGTACAGGGGTCGTTTTAAAACAAATATAATTGCGTTGTCATAATACTTGTTTAGAAACTTTCACATCAAAGCGCCTATAAACATTCACATTATTAAAAACACATATGTTTTGTGAAAAGGCAAAAAGGTTCTTATATTTAAACGATTTATTGACTGCAACCTAGTCTTATTGTTTACTTTCCAATTTACTTTGATGGTGTAATGTCACGTGGTAGCCAAGCCATAGAGGGACCGTATCAAAGACGTAGATAACTACCTGTATAAATGATCGAAAACTTTCGAGACGTTCCGAGAATTTTATTCCGACTTCCGGCCGAGAGATATGGAGTGGCCCATAGACACATCCAAAACTCGCCAATATATAAGCGTGAACCCCTCAGGGGGTTCACGCAAAAAATTAATTTTTGAATTGCTCCCGTTCTGATATGTCGCGCATCAAGCGGCATATCAGAACTGGAGCAATTGAAGGATTTGATTTTAATTAGATTGGCTATAAATCATCTGAAGAATTTGTATGCGCTCGCACATGTGCTGTGATTTTGAACAATAACTTTATAAAATTGCTTTTACTTGATTATTGTTTGTCGTAATGTAATCGTTGAATTTTTACCAAAAGTGAGAGTTCGTCATTTAAAAGTAGAATTTAAGATTTAATTTATTTATCGAGGTAAAGGTGAAGCCATCTCTGTTTTTAAGGATAACGTTACACCTTTTAAACTGTTCAATATTCAATGTGTGGTACCGGTATTCGATCGTTTTGTTCTGTTCTTTCTTTATGTATTCGACGAACCTTGCGTGTTTTCTTTAAGGTTTCTAGGCCAGTTATTCCAAATAATATCCCAAAACCACTCCACAACCAACAGCGTTGAAGTCTTCAATGAACAAATACATATAGCAACAAACCACACGCAAGCAATTGACTGCCGTTCGACGTTATTGATATTTTTAAGTCAACCATGTATTACGTACGTAAGTAAATTATTGTATGTTCTAACTTTTCGTTTTATCTGATTTTGACCTGCTTATAATATGCGAATCAAACATTTTTTTCTACTGTTTGTGATATATATTTTCCTTTTAGGTAGAGACCCAATTGGAATTGGACAAATGGACAAAAGAGCTGTCTTACTGTTTACGAAAAAGGGAACAGCTCTGGGTAATTACGTTTGTCTGGTCACTTCTTTTTGTACAATAAAAAGTATATTGACATTAACATTTTAATTTGCGGAAATAAGGTAATCAGAAATACATGTCCAATACTGATACGCTCTGAACCATTATTTATAACGGGGAAAAGTGAGGAGATATCAGAGGAACAAACCAAAACAACAAATTAGGTAAAGAAAGACAACGCATAGCCAAAAAGAATAAAAGACAAACAACGAACTGGTTAACAAAACATTACACAGAAAACTAAAGATTGAGCAGCACGAACACCGCCTAAACCTGGAGCTGAACTCATGTGCTCCAGAAAATTGAGCAGTTCCTGCTTTACTAGTCACATCCCATATTTTACTCATTGCAAGTGAAATTTTAAGTCGTCGAAAAAAAGGACGGGGAAATGTATTTTTGTGGTTATAAGGTTTTTTAAATTCTATTTAATATTGTATTTTGAAGTAGATTAAATGCTACGCTTACAATTCTGCAGTTGAAACCTGTGGGAACTAATTCGATCTTTTACTTTTTATAAGAATATTGGAAGATCAGAGGACCTTTATATATCTAAGAATTAGCATCTCGTGCAATACTTTTCGATAATGCCATTAGGTTATTCATATGTGTACACTAAAATTTAAAAGAGTTTGTGAGGGTTTTTTTCTAATTCCTCTATTCCATACATTTGTCTCTTTAGATGTATTATTGAAATACTTATTTAACATTTTTACTAAATTATGCAGTTGAATCCGGATCTTCGTGTGATGAAAGGAAGAATTTATATTGGGGTAAGTAACAGTCCTTGATTATGTAATTAGTGGTATTATTATTTCTTAAATTCTTATCAAAATATATTTATTTAGAGAAAATCAAAATATATGAATTAAAAGTATAAAGGTAACCCATTGTTACTGTAATATTGAACTTTGCCTTTACGGATATTTTATTCCGCGTTTCTCAGAGAGTAAATCGAACATCATCAAAACCTCAAATCGTCATCATACCCGAATTGCATAATTTTGTAAATAAGATACTTATCAAATGTTTCCCAATTAGTAGATGAACACGGTACGGCCCTATTGTCAATGGAAATAAACGTAGATATTAACAAAGTTACCAGTACAAGCCAGAAAAAGAACGTCTACTACATTTTACAAAATGAATTTTAGATTCGAATCGGCATCAAGTTTCTTTTATAAGATGGTATCTCTGGACGTTTTCCCCCAAGTACCTTAGCATGATAAATACATGTTTGAAAGATACGGAATGATTCTAGAATTTTTTTAAATCATAGCTATAGTAGAAAAATGAAAAAATTCTTTCTTGACCAGTCAATTTAATAAAATCGCAAACATTAAATGTTATTCGTAACCCTAAAGACGTTATTTGCATTCCTTAAATATTGTTTTTCTATATAACTGGTAATTTTTTTCTTACCGAAATAATTACTGTTGTTGGAATTGTATATTGATTTCAAGACGAAAGTTCTTACTTTTTACTTTTTCAACAAATATCGAGTTTAATAAAATGTAAAAGCAATACTTGTCATTCTCCACTCGTCTTAGTAATGGCTTCCACCTTAACTGCTCATTCAAAATAAATGTTTAAATATTCGATATTTAGGGGATAACCGTTGTTTCCAGTGTATTCGACTGAAAGTTCTAGAGTGGGAAGTTGCTTGATTTTTTTTTACCTGAATGAAAAGATATCAGATATCTGGATAAGGGTGCCATGGATCGGAAAACCTATGCATGAATCCGATAGAAAAATCATTTAGGAAGAACGTGAGTGTCTCTGTTAGGTATGGTCACATGGAAATATTTTAGATATTTTAATTTTTAAAGAAGGGTGGTAAATTCGAAAGAACGACTTAGTTCCTTAAGTACTTCGGTACTGACATGATTTATAACATTCTATCTGAAATTGCCCGTTTATAAATTTTGAAATTATACAGAAACAGATGGATTTGGATTTTATTTTAGGTCCTTTTTGGTTTATAGCTTTTCAACATTTTCGGTCTTTATACTTCCTTGGTTTTCAAATATTTGGCTTTGAGACTGCCTGATGAAGGTAAATCCAGAAAAGCGCTTCGAACGAAATTTATAACGTATTGTTTTCAATTTTTTTAAGGATTTTCAGTATACATACAAACATTGGTGCCAACGTTGATGATTTAATACAAATCATGAAAACAGACAGAAATACGAACAACAATTAAAAAATAAAAATTAATTGTATAAAAATAAATTGTAAATGGTCCTTCTCCTTCGAAATATGATGGATTGTTTGTTTGTTTGTTTATTAAATGAATGTCTTAACGTCTACCAGTCAATTGTTTACATTATTAGTAGAGAAAAACACATACGAGTAAAACACACACAAGAGATTAACCGTCCAGTGACAGATGTTTCTTTATTCATAAGGACACAGTAAAAGAAACAAAACAGGTTTTATGATCTCCCTATACCTTCCCCCTTAAATAAAAAAAAGGGGCGGGACCCACGTTCACATTTTCGTACTAGGTTCTGCATCCTAGATTTGGTTAAGATACTATACTTAGAATATAATTATTTTTTCTATTTTAGGTCCATCGCGCGTCTCGCGCGGATGATGACGTCACGAGGCATGTTCATATTAGCGAAAAACTTGAACAAATTTCTAACTTTTCAGGTGGAGATGCTGGACAGACAACATGTATATCGACGGAATAACACATTATGTACTTCTGTTGTTCCTGTATGTAATGTTTTGTTCACAGTTCACTAGCAGTGCACGCTTTTTATATATTTTATCCTGTGCAATCGATTATTTTCAGACAATGTACATATTTTAGCAGCACTTTGTATCACAGATTTGTACTTTAATCTTTGTGCAGACATTTCATTGTAGGATATTATTGATATTTACGGAGCTTGAAAGCGATTTCTACGGCATTGAAATACGTTTCCTCTACGAACATTCTTGGGATTGTTCTATTTAGATGGAATACATGTATACCCTGTTGGCTGCAAAGTTTAAGGTCAATTGAACATGTAATTTCAGAGAAGAAGCGCACACATGAATTTGGGTCATGTTTTCCGAGAAGAAATGCAATAACAAAATTAAAAACCGAGTGTTCGGAAAACAATTGCGGGTCTTTCCACCTCAAATGGACGTATTTTGATATGAAATTATTAAAAGCCTGTTTGAAATGTCATTTCTTGTGTCAGACGATAGCTTACTTAAAAATGATTCCAAAAATATATGGTTTTTGTACAATTTTGCTTAAAATAAGGCACATAATTTGATAGTTTGAAAAACGTCAAATGTTAAGTATCATATGATAGGTCACTTGACACTGATTCCAAAAATAAATGGTTCTATATACTTTTATATTAAATTAATGCAAAAAAAACGGCTACTTCTGGTTTACTTAAGGTCGCTTCCGGTTGAATTTCATGTGTCATGTGTATTCCTACCAAATGCAAAAGATCAAATGTCTTTATCGTGTATCAATATGAAGTTATAGCAACGGTTAATATCTAGAACGTCAACTATACCTTTTACCTTGACCTTAATTTCAAGGTAATCAAGCAAGGACCTCATATCATAAAAACCTTGGATCTCTACCGTGTATTGTTAATAAAATATAGTACCATATATCTTATTATTAACATCTGAGTGGAGTAAGCTTCAAGTAAATGTAACCATACCGCTTCGAATAAAAAAATTCCTGTCACGACATATCGCAACTAACGATTTGGTGAAAATCTTTTGTCGATGCATGTATATATTAGTTTTTTTAGGAGTAGCATAAACAACCTTTTTTTGTTAAAAAAAAAGAAGATTAGTAGGTACTTACGGTTTATAAAATGTTACTTCCCGTTACATTTGAACCTTTCTTCACACTGGTTCCAAAAATATAAAGTTCTAGTAAATTGTACATGAAAATAATGCAAAACAAAACGGCTACCTCCGGATAACAATAGATCACTTCCGGTTGACCTTCTTCAAGGTCATATATCTGTAACAAAATGTAAAGACCCTTGGACTTTATCATGAACCCATTAGAAGTAAGAGCAAAGTTCAAAATCTGGAATGTCAAATCAAACTTTGACCTTGATCCCAATTTCAAGGTCATAACACAAGGACCTCAAATCAAAAGACCCTAAGTCTCTACTATATATGGTTAATGAATTATATTACCACACAGTTTATTATAAATGTAAGAGGGGTGAAAAATCTCGTTTAATGTGTACGTACCCTTTCAACCAAAATTCATGTGTTAAGATATGTCGCAACTAACAATTCTGTAAAAAAAATTGTTGATTTCTTCTACGATTTCTGAAAATAAGTGACCTTGATCTCATTTTCTTTTTAATGGACTAAGGGCCTTACATAAAAAGTCCCTAGGTATCTATCACTTAGAGTTTGCCAGTTACAAATACATTTCACTTACATACCAAATAGAGAAGGGGAAATAACTATCATATGGAATCTCTATATTGCTTCGGTGATAATTATCCAAAACATCCTAAGGATATAATGAGCAATTTGGAAAAAAAAATGAATTTGTCAGTTTCTTTTACGGTTGCAAATTATTAGAAATAACAAGAAAAATAGTGTAAAGGGAGATAACTCTTACAAGAAAAATTATTCGGTTAAGCGGTGTCAGCTTCAAAATCGTATAAACTGTTCAATATCTAAGCGACATTTTGCGAAACAACCCAAACAGCGAGAGAAAATAAATTATGCAGAAGAAAAAATAAATAAATCAAAAACCAATTGTTCAGAGAACTCAACCTCGATAATAAAGGATTGTTAAGGAATACCAGTCTCATAAGAGTCAAATTCAATGTTAATACGCAAGGGGACCGTGAAAAAAAAACATTTCTGCAAATATTTGCAAAAATCCTGTGATATTTTCTCGATGAGTTCATCGATTTCTCAAACCGTCAGTTAATTGTTGCGCCCAAAAGCTATAGGAGACACCAATTTGAATAACAAAGACAAAAAAGCAAAGGGAAAGATGAAAACGGAAAATTGAAAAAAGAAATTATGAGTGCCATGTTGACCATAAGACGTTTGAAAACATTTGGGATTGTCGGAACTTTATACATACAGGCTTTATTCAAATTGTTAAATTGTTTGATGTACTTGAATGTAGACAAACTGAATTATTTGACTTTCAAACATATTATATTCATATCATACAATGTATTTATGTAGATTTGTGGTCTCAAAATCTTCCATCCACCCTTTTTATATTTTTTTTCTCCAGTCGGTAAGTGTGTGCCTTTCCAAACACGTCTAATAAAGTTTCATCATTATAACCATATAAGCAAAGGTGATAAAGGATTAGCACAAATTGGCCAAAAACTTTTACGAAATATTTAAAACTACAGTTTTTTATTGCGAAAGTATGATTCGACATGTAGGAAATAGATAAATCTGGTATTTCAAGCTTAGCTGGTATTGTGCTATTGCTTATATTGTAAGCAACTTGTGCTTATTGTACAAGTTGATTGAAGTTATAGATAATTAGAATGCGGTTCATAAATCTTAATGCTTCTTTTAATTATGTTTTATTTGATTTGATCATTAAAGGGGCATTAGCTGTCAAATTCATGATCACCGATTTGACTCAAATTCTCATATTTGATTTATAACATACTAAAATATATATCCAAATTATAAAAAGTCTAAAATAAACAATTCACAAGGCATAGGCTCGATAATATATGTCATCGTTTCGTGTGTATTTTAGTCTAGACACCATCTAATCAACTATCGAGTTGACCTCCGTAGACTACAGACGGTCATATAAGCGATATCAACATAAATATAGATATAAATAGATAGCAAACTCGTGCCATTGGATTTTTCAAGGTGTGTTTAATTTCATATTTTAGGTTAAAAATATATGCTTATCATCGTTTTACCTGTATAAGAATGAGTTTTTGTAGATCGAATCAGTCAATCAAATGATTTACCTTTGTTTCACTTTCAATGTTGACATTCTTTTCCTTTTAATAACTGAACATGCATAATTCATGCGTAATCCATCTCTAGCTAAGGGGTTAAATTGAAGGTCACATTAATACGGATTCAATGAGGTCGAGTTATTCACTTGCAAGTGAATAATTCATCATCGATGTTTCTTAGCTTATTTTGACAAAATTGAACCATACTGGCTGCTAAAAGCGAATTATTACTTCATTATTTCACTTTCATTAATGATTGAACAAAAAAAAACTATTTCAATTTTTTTTATATATCTCGTAGCTAGTTCCCCTTTAAGTGTACGAATACAGTATTTCTAAATCAGCAAATAGAACACTTTACGACATGTTGCAGTAATTGCGATAAATCTGATACGATATTATAATAGTATTATTTTACTTCTTTATGTGCTTTAGTTGTCTGGTAAAACTGATACTATTAAAAATAAAGGCCTTTTACTGAATAGTTTTAATTTGACTCAACGAAAGCTGAAGAGGACTATTGAAGTCATGCGTCCTCTATACCAAGCAGTACACGCTTCTAAAGGTGTTATTTTTTTTTTGTATTTGGGCGTAGGTCTACAAATATTAAATAAGTAAACTTTTATTTTGTCAAATGATAAGAAGTTGTTGTATTATCATAACAAGACATTCTCCTAATTTCTCATGGAGCTTTGTTTTGCTTTAAATAGACGAGGCAATGTCATTCTAAAATATTGTTGTCTCTTTTATTTCAGTTAGCGAGACTAGCACCCGATAAAGATGACTGTACATTCCGAATTATAACGAACAGTGGGGCGAAACATATTCTTCGAAGTAAGTAAAGGACTTATTATTCTATTCATAATTACCTGTTTGCAATTTTTTGATACGCATTAACTGTAGTTTAATTCTTTTTGGTCAATTAGATGATTAAATACTTGAAATTGTTGTGGTATATCTCCCGTCTGATGCTTTTGACTTTTAAAAATAATAATAATGGTAACTTGCTTAACCCCAAATATATGGAAGTACTATGTATTGTCTTTCAGGTTCAAATAATTCTGGTTAATGGTTTTGGATGTCCTTCTTACTTACAGATACAGGGGTGCGTAGAGGGCGTACGACCCCCGCCCTTTTTTTCGTCGCCGAAAATAGAATATTATGTTTGTCCCGTTTTATATGTTTTTTAGCGTTAAATCGTCTAACATTTTTCGCCTTGTTCCGCTCGGCAGTATATCATATTACGTATTCCGGAATTACGCCACACTTTCATGATTCAAGGGCAATTGCATACACTTCATTAATCCTGACAAAATTCTTTTGAAGAAGCAAAGTTCGAATTCTTCAATTGCCCCATAAGCTCGGCTATTTTTTGTAAACGTTTTATAAACTGTATACAGTTTTCTGAGCTTGATACACTAAGATATTTCTCCATTTTAGAATCGAGCAACTATTATAGAAAATCGGTTATCAAACAGGTTGGCGATAATGCATATACCAGAGAATAAATAATCTTAATATTCCTTTAGAATTACAGATAAAGCTATTCGATTCTTTTGTAGCCTTTATTTTGACGTACTCCTCGGAAATTTGGGGATTTTAAAAATAAATAAATAGTTAGAAGATATTTACAATTCTGCCAAACAAAAAAATCTGGGTTTACAGGTACACATGTTATGCTTTATGAGGAACCTTGCCGAAATTTCCTATTGAAAAAAGTAAAATAAAAAAATACCGTACTCCAAGGAAAATTTTCTTATCAAATGGCAAAATTAAAAGCTCAAGCAAATCAAAAGAATGGAAAATAACAGTCATAATCCCGACTTGGTACAGGCATTTTCTTATGTAGAAAATGGTGGATTAAACCAGGTTTTATAGCCAGCTAAACCTCTCACTTGTATGACAGTCGCATATAATTCCATTATATTAACAACAATGTGTGAACAAAACAAACAGACAAAAATGGATTAAACAGTAAAGGTTAGAAATTTACAAAGACAAATAAAAAGAACACTATAACACGTAATTATGATGATAAACAACGTCAGTACCTAGAGTCTATACTTCAAGACCATCATGTATTATTTGTGAAGCTGATACGGAATATTTTTCACAAGGTCTTGGCATCTTCCGATACACTTTTTATGAAAAGGACGAGACGTTCTATGACATAACCCTAGTTCATCAACTTTCTGCTCAGACACTGGTGACGATTTATAAAGCCTGAGTAGTAGCTGCAAGCTCTTGAATACCGAATGAGTTGGGAAATGAATATCCCAGATGCAGGTGAAGTTTGTATATTGTTTGCTAAGGTGGGGGAAATTTATAATTTCGAAATTAAAATTATCTCGTTTGTCATAGATTCTGGTACTGAGAAGACCACTTATGTCAAATTCGAGGTGTAAGTCTAAAAATGAGGCGGGGGAAGCCGTGTCTGCCGTTTCTTTAATTTCTAGTTCTGGGGGATATATTAATGGAACCCAATCAGCAAAGTTTGGATTGTTAATGGAAAGAACATCATCAATATATCTGAATGTGAAATTAAATGATCTGGCTTCTTTTATCTTCTTGTTTTTGATAAGTGTCTGAAGGAACTCCGACTCATGTGAAAATAAGAAGAGGTTGGCCAGGAGAAGCGCACAATTCGTTCCCATAGGATAGCCGACAATTTGTTGAAAAAGTCCACCTCCAAATTTAAAAAAAAATATTTTGTCAATATGAAACTTCAGCTGACGGAGGCCATATCTTGTGCCTAAATATTTGTCAATACGACAAAATGACATTATTTCATCGTATCTAATTATATTATTTTTTTGTTATTCATATCGTTACACAAATTCCTTTAGACTTATATATTTTAAGGATACCCTTTTGGTAAGGTTGAAACAAATATGGAAGCCGTGTACAGTTAAATTACCGATAAGCATGAATTAAAGATGTTTCATTATGTCTAACCCATATGTTAGGGGACTTCACAAATACTTTGGTATAAGTGAAATACGGTTTACATAACCAGCAGATAAAGCTTTCGCCAGACCACTTTATTCCGTTTGCATATCTTATTCAATGTTTTATTAAAATATTTACAATGTAGGGGAGGATGCAATAGTAGTAAAATATGGCCTGCATCTACATAAGACGAAAGAATATTGGCGAATAGGTTCATATTAGAATTAAACTAATGTGACAGAATAACTCTATTCAATATGAAGCTATATACTTCATTTTGAGATAACTTATATATTCTTAAAACTTAACACTGATTTTTTTTCCATTGTTAATTTGTTTTTCGAATGTTTAGCTAATCAGTATTTTTAAACATAAAGGTACTCAGTTAACGGATAGACAAAAGTGGATTGATACAATATTGGAAACACAAAAGCGTGTCAATAAAGATATGGTAATAATAAATCACATTATAGCATTTTAAAAATTGCCGGAATATACCAAGCAGGACATTCTAAACTCATAGGTCGACTAAAACTGACAACGCCATTGCAAAATAAAACCAAAAGATGATGAACAGACAAACAATTCACAAAACACTACATAGATAGCTTAAATCGAAAAACCAAAACGAAGGGTGATCCGTTTTGGTTGCTACGGAAGAGTGAGCAGATCCTGTTAACTATTGGCACCCGTCGTGTTACTCGTGTGAATATGTGTGCAACCATGAACACAAACACGTTCTTAGTGAGAGGTATAAGAGATTACTACATTAATACAAAAAAGAAATTTAATGGCATCAAATGTGAAATCTCGTATATCTGATTTATTTGGAAACATTTTAACTGATAAACCTAGTAACAAAACAGTCAAGTTGAGAATGTCGTTAACTGCTATGGAAAACATATACATGTATAACTTTATTGTTTTACGTTATTGTTTTACGTTATTATGTATTTGTTGTTACCAATGTCGTCATTAATAATGGAGACAAATAGAAGATACAAAAATGGCATTTAAAAAAAGTGTATGTCGATGAAAAAAGTTAAACTATTGCCAAACAAACGTTCACTCTTAATTCCGATGGTTGAACTGAAGAGTATGAAATGGATGTCGGTATATTATGACATATATACTTATAATTATACTTTGATAAGATTTATTCGGAATTTACCCATTCTTGACTATGACAAGTGAAATATATTTGGGGTCATATGTGCCACGGATATCAAACATAGTAATAATGGCAATGATAAAAAAAGAATTCTAGACCATTCAAACTGTTTCATCTATTTTTAACGTCAATAAACCCAGACTCTTGAAACTTCACAGAAAGATTGCACACATGTTGTAGTCTTTCTGTTATGGAATTGGCTGAGCAATTTTCCCAATTTTCAAGACTTTTTTAAGCAGAAGTTTGAACGGAAAATTTTTGTAATTTATTCTTCCTGCAGTTTTCCATCAAGGTCCCCGAAAGTAGAGATTGCATTGACACACCCTGCTGTTCTGGAATCGTTTGGGGCTTTTCCTTCATTTTTTCAAGACGTTGGAACTTTGTCAACTTTAAGTAAAATATATAAAGGCGGTACCAATTTGTGAAATAATCTCCTCTTTTTTACTATTGTTCTTTTGCCTTTGTTCTGCCTTGTTTTATGCTACACATATAAAATGTACCACTTATATTATTGTACCAAATGTATAACAGATAGTATTTCATTGGGGATGAATTTATAATTTCCTGCAGGGAGCTGTAGGTCGAAAGTTTAGATGTAAAGGAGAAAAGTATTCAGTAAAAGAAACTTCATCAAAAGAAGATATAATAGATTCATCTCTTAAACGTTCCCATTCAGTTGGTAAGAATATATATGATTTAAGAGTGTCATGGTTGCTGAGAGAAAAGTCAAATAAAATCTCTTTGTCATTTTAAATAAATATTTTAGCCGTATGCTTCTTTTTTCTACATTCCATATACATCTAGTTAACTAAGGGTTTTACAGATTTCAGAATAAGAACTTTATACAACATAATGATCTAACATTTAAGTAGATTAGACCAATATGTATTTCTGGCGAAAATGAACGATGACTATAAATGTATTTTGACAACATTAATTAAATATCACCAGCCAATCAATAACATTGTAGGAGGCGTACATGGAAAATTGGTCAATCAGACGATGACAGTATTTGGTGAACCAGAGGACACTAACACGTTCTCAAAACAAAACTGGTAGATAGAATTAATGTGAATATTATGTATACATGTATATCTAATTTTTAAACCTTCCAATTTATTAGCTTCAGTTGATATAGCAAATTGAACATATATCAAACAATTTTGTTCTTGAGAAAATGTTTCTTTTTAAAGCATGATCAGTATTTAAAGTAATATGAAATAAATATAATCAAAAGTATTTTATTACATTTCCACAAAAAAACATTCAGTAAAATTGTAGAGGTCAGACCGGATTTTACATTTTCAAGTGTTGCTTTTTTGTAGTGAGTTGGTCGCAGCTATAGATTTCGGATCTTCAGACTCTGGTTGCGCATTTTCTCTATGTTCCGATTATAAGTGTAACCCACTTCATATACAAACGGAATCTTTAGGAGGCAATGGTTCAGAAACAAAAAAGTCTCCAACCGTTCTCCTTATGAACCCAGATGGTGAATTTGCAGCTTTTGGTAAAATAGCTGAACAACAGTATGAAGAACTTGCCTTAGATGAAGAAGATAAAAAATGGTTTTATTTTCGTCGATTCAAAATGCAGCTTTTCACAAAGAAGGTATTTCGATAAAAATAACTTTACATGTGCATGTGCCTATCATCATAAAATTAACGGTGCAAATTTTACAAAATTTTGGTTCAAACATTTCCTAGGATCTGTTAATAGATTGACGTAATATTCGGACACTTGTCTAGTGTTGAAGGTTGTATATTGACAACTAGATGTCTTTTTGGTTTTTACCCTTATACATATCTCATAAATATACAGTAATTGATATAATTTTTCGAAATCAAACCACATTTCTTAAAATGAACAATATTATATACCATCTACATATTGTTTGAAATTCGAGATTGGGGTGTAACACGGAATTTTGCTAAGAAACCTTTTTTTTGCGAAAAGATGAGACAAAATGCGGTAATTTTTTAAATTAAAAGACTCATATTCAACCCCAGTGCATAACATTAATTTTTACACGATTGATGTAATAAGAAACTCAATTAATATGTCACAAACTTGGCACAAACAACTTAAAAATCAGTCAAATCTAATTAGCAGCATATTTTTGGGAAGAGACAAATAAAGGCACTTTTTTTACTCTAACTTTTTTTAAGTTGTAATTATTGTTGGTGTTATTTTGATTATGAGGAAGTAGATAAATAACTTTCCCTCTAAGAGTAATTCCTTTGCACTAGAATTTGAGTCCATTGTCTTCTGTGATCTTCTGTGTATTAATACAACCTCCACATTTTGCTTGTGAGGGCCCCACATAGTGGCGGGTCGCCCTATAGTGATCAGTCGGTCCGTCCGTCCGTCCGTAACAAATTGTGTCCGCTCTATATCTAGAGAACCGTTATAATTTCATACTTTATACTTGACATGTATATTAACCAACACCAAAGATGTGTCATAATGTTTGTACAACTTCCTAGGTCATAGTTCAATGTCAAAAACTTTGGTTTCAGTTGACTACCCCATGTCCTATGGTAAAGATCGTGGCCGCTCTATATCTTGAGAACCGTTCTGATTTCAAAGTTTATACTTGACATGTATATTAACCAACACCAGAGGGTGTGTCATAATGTATGTACAACTTCCTAGGTCAAAGGTCAAGGTCAAAAACTTTGGTTTTAGTTGACAACCCCATGTCCTATGGTACAGATTATGTCCACTCTATATCTTGAGAACCGTTATGATTTCAAAGTTTATACTTGACATGTATATTAACCAATACTAGAGTGTGTGTCGTAATATATGTACAACTTCCTAGGTCAAAGGTCCGTCCGTCTGTCTGTCGGTCCGTCCGTCCGTCCGTCCGTCCCTAATAAATTGAACCCCATGTCCTATGGTAAAGATCGTGTCCGCTCTATATATTGAGAACCGTTATGATTTCAGAGTTAATACTTGACATGTATATTAACCAACACTAGAGGGTGTGTCATAATGAATATACAACTTTTTAGGTCAAAGGTCAAGGTCAAAAACTTTAGTTTCAGTTGACAACCCCATGTCCTATGGTACAGATCATGTCCGCTCTATATCTTGAGAACCGTTATGATTATAAAAATATGTGACAAATAGCTATTGAGCAGCACCTTAAACATAACATTATTCAAACATTAACCCATATATCCTGAAGTCACCTAGTGGTCAACAATGTATTCACACCATGGAGTCATATCACTATTATACTATGAAAGTAAATTCAGGATATTTATCAGTTTAATTAAATTGCCAAATATAACACTTTAACTAAAAACATAGAATAAAATCACTCTCAGCACATAACGAGACTATGTAATAACCTAAAAAAGTGCTTCATATCAGCTGATCCATTACAAATTTTTTACCACACGTTATATACAGCGGGGCCCAAAGAGATGGCTCCCATCTCAATGATGTCTAGTTCTTTGAATTCCGTTTATTGTTCTGTTTTGATTGACATTCCATTGCTTTAAATGATTCTATGTGAGAAAGACAGGTTTTTTGGGCGGGATTTGACGCACCAAATATATATCTATCTATTATAAATATTGGTTAAACACTGTTTGCATCTGAATTTACTGTGAAATTGCCACCAGTAACTGTTACAAATGTTAGCGCCATGTTGTTTACGTTGAACTTGTTACTCTAGTTTAAATATATGATGAGTCATATCAGCAGATTACCCATCATACAAAAGCAGGTTATTGAATGTCTCTTGTTTAACTTTAAGGTACTAACAAATTCAAAATCCATAGGTTCAAGTATACTAAATTATTTGCATCTAAAACTTGAACGACTGTTACATGTGGAAATAACACAGACATTTAAAAATTACTCAAAATACAACAGGAAACCATTTAGAATAAAAGAAGGCAGGAAATATGCAGTTGGAAAGCAGGTCACGGTTTGACCCCAAGTCTATCAGCAACAACAGAGTCACGTGACCGTGAAAGTTCAGTAAAACTACGGATGAGACAAACCTCACTTTTACTCACTAAAATACCACTGTCATAGTAAAAACTTATTGATCAAAATAATCTTGAATATACATAGTTTTAACTCGTCAAAACTTACACATCAACTCAAAGTCCTTTATTCTTTATTTTATCTTCAAACTTGAAGTTTGTGTGAAAATTGTCAATGCTCCTGATCGAAAAATCTAAATATTTTCGAGGAAACTAAAAATGATGGGCTGAATTTAAATTTAATAAAGCATCTCATTAAGACAAACACTCGATATGAATATCTAGGCAATACCGTTTTGGATACGCAAACGTCAAGTTATGTTCAACACGAAGCGGTGTTTTTTTTGCCGATTTGTGCAAGTGGTTATCTCCCCTTGATATCACCAGTCAAAAATAAAAACCCACCAAAATGAATAAAGAGAGGTTTTTTTTTCAAAAATCAAAAAGAAATTAAAAGAAAGTCGATTAACAACTATGTTGTTATAATATTAAGAAGAGATACTTCTCTACTTTTCAGAGAAGGATTACAGGTAAAAATTAAAAGACAAAAAATTGGTAAAAATTAGATCTAGAAACCTAGCTGAATTGATAATATGAGGCAGGCATTACCTGTGAAAGGGGACGAAGTCTATATAATTTTTTTTTTTTTTAATTCAAACATATTTTAAGTTCTAAATCTGTTAAAAAAGAAACGGAAATACCGTAATGTTACCGATTTTGGTTCTGTTGTTAGGGATTTTAGTTGTGACGTTATTTTAGTTATGACGTCATATTCAATGTAAACAAAGAAACGCTATCATCAGGTAACGTTTTTTCATATCAAAGAATAATTAGAAATGAAATTGTTATTGTGTTCCTTCCTATATTTTACTGGACTGATAAATATATATAGTTTCACTCAAAGTCTCATGACAAACGAGACCGGAAGAAGGAAGTAGATTTCTGCGCAAATGCGGGTATTTAAAAAAGTTACAAAAAAAAAGTTAACGATTTTGAGTTCATTAGTACAATGAAAATTTCGGGAAATTTTCCCGATTTTTTTTTTCTTTTTTTTTTTTTATTGATTTTTCTACTGTAATTGGGGACTTCGTCCCCTTAATATGAGGCAGGCATTACCTGTGAAAGGGGACGAAGTCTATATAAATTATTTTTTTTAATTCAAACATATTTTAAGTTCTAAATCTGTTAAAAAAGAAACGGAAATACCGTTACGTTTCCGATTTTGGTTCTGTTGTTAGGGATTTTAGTTGTGACGTTATTTTAGTTATGACGACATATTCAATGTAAACAAAGGTAACGTTTTTTCATATCAAAGAATAATTAGAAATGAAATTGTTATTGTTGTCCTTCCTATATTTTACTGGACTGATAAATATATATTTCACTCAAAGTCTAATGACAAACGAGACCGGAAGAAGGAAGTAGATTTCTGCGCAAATGCGGGAATTAAAAAAAGTTACAAAAAAAAGTTAACGATTTTGAGTTCATCAGTACAATGAAAATTTCGGGAAATTTTCCCGATTTTTTTTTTTGATTTTTTTTATTGATTTTTCTACTGTTATAGGGGACTTCGTCCCCTTATAAATTAGCCCTGGCTGATGAAATTTACTTTCAGTTTGTAATTTTTATAATGGGATATGGGATCACTCCTAATGTAACTACTTCTAACAATGTTTAATTCAATAAAACATACTGTATACAATTTAAATAATCTTTCTGAAAAAAATAGTGCTGACCATTTATATTTTATATTTTAATAAAGTGGGACCAAGAGTCACAATTTAGTTTCTTCAAAGTAAAAAAAGCCTTTTAACTCAAGCCTATGTTTCTTAGTTGAACAGTACAGTACTGCCTAGAAAATATCATACAGAAAAAGGATAAGTTTACCATATAAATGACAAAAATTCTGTAAAAAAATAATGCTTAAAATTATTATAAGTGAAAGTGACATAATTTTGAATTTTAAAATCATTATTATGTAAAATTTAACTATTAGATTAGCTAGCACAGTAGCCCTTGTCCAATTTCTCAGGGTATTTTATAGTCCAAATAATTATGACGTCTTGGAAGGCTATTTTAAACTTTTGCATTTAATAGATTATGAAAGTAAACATTTTGAAAAAAAATTGGGGCTTCTTCTCTTCAGGTTGCTGTATCTGCTGCTTTACATATTTATAAACAAAGTATTGTATATTTTACCTGAATAATTGGATATTAATCTCAGAAATGAAAGTTGGTATGACAAATCTTGTGCATTTTACTTTAATAATGATCAATGATGATTAAATTTGACAAGATTTTGCCATTTGAATAAATTCAATTTTGTAAGCACACATCTCTATGAATTAATTTCTTGTTTGACTTGAAAAGCTAGTGTTTGCTCTTATTAATGTAGCTTACTTAGTAAAGAGATAATTGATAAGCAAGGTTTTTAACTTATAAAATATAAATATACTATTAACTGACCTTCATTTCCTTTTTTCATATGTTTTTTCCTCCAGATTTGGTCTTTGCAATGCATTTTCTATTGCTATTTTTGTGCATTTGTTTATCCATAGGTCATCATTAATTTGTCATATTTGCTTCCAGTATAAATGAAATTTTCTTAGACCTATAGTTTCAACGCCATAAAGAAGAACTTTGTTTGTTGTTTCACTTGTCCAATGTGTATATTTTCACTATGCACATGACCCTGACACATATTTTGTAAACGTTATATATGACGTATATTGAAAAAGAAAACAATGTCACCGTCAATTTGTGTAGGGGATCAAAAAGGGGTTTAATTACTTTAAAATGGAGATATCGTATGGAATTGTGAAAAACAACAATTTTTAATCACAATTTCATTTATATCTATAATAAAATCAGTAATTTAGAGTACTTTGGAAACAGGTACAACGAAAAGAAGTTGAACTTTACTGTTTTGAAGTAGAAACGCAGCCAAAACCAGGTACAAATTGACATGACTGGTGGTCACCAAAATTGATGTATAATAGTAAAAAATGATGGCTTCATAATTGTGTAGAAATTTGAAATAGGTTACCCGGTTTCATTTCAGATTTTTAACGTTCTATTCCGTATTTGGATACGCAAACGTCAAGTTATATAAATTCGATGTTTTTGGCGAACAAAAAAGATGGCTGATCATTTTTAGAACGTACAGGATAAAGTAATAGCAAATAAAAGTTATTTTCGACAATGTTTCAATGTCGTATTGAAACTATATTGTTCACAAAATCTACAAACTTTAAAAATCAATAATAATAAAAGCATGACAAGTTGAAAAAAATAGTTTAAACGTCGATTTTTTAGCCGATTTATTTCGCGGACTTTTTGACGTCACCGACGACTGTAGCGCCACCTAATTAATTCCCCCTTCTATTGTTGCTGATAGAGCTTGACGACAGCGGACGTTTCCAAGGACTTGCTTTCCAACTGTATGGAGCTCCGGAAGGGTAAGTAGTTTCTGTTTCTGTTATGTCACAAGTTGTGTTGCTCACGGCAAGTAAACCGCATGTGATGATGTCACAATGGAAGAAAAAATGACGAGATGGTTGTTAGGACAAGTGGAACAATCATTAGTCATCTGTGACACTGATATTTCATATCGGTCAAACAAATCATGTTGGCGTCCTTAAAACTTTCAAAGAGATGTCTTCAACTACACCATTAGGAAATTTTGGTTCAAAGCTTTCTTGCAAGCAGTAAAACTCTCTACCAAGGAAATCATGAGATGAAAGATAAGGCCTGGAATAGCGTATCGACTCGGAGATATATAGTTCATATACAGCTGCCTCTCAAATGTTGCTACATAGAAAATGAAAGATTGTATTCCTCTCTAACATACAATTGTCTGCCATTTCACCATATATCAGTCAATCACAAAAAATATGTTGTCATCTAAAAAAAAAACAAATTCCTAATGATTTCAATTGCATGGAACTTTTTGTATGAAATCCCTTTTACATATGCCTATGAATTTAAAATGAATATAAAAAGAAGATGTGGTATGATTGCCAATGATTGAAGAATACTTTTGTAACAAAGGGTAGAAAAATAAAAGGCTTTAATACTATTGTGCTAGGGGATGGACTTTTAACAATGTACTATAGATAATTATAGATATATGGATTTTTTAAATCTATTTCCGACTAACAACAACCCTATAGTAGGTAGTTTAGGCAACCCTGAATTGCGGTCTTAATTGTAAATAAAATTGAGAATGGAAATGGGGAATGTTTCAGAGACAACAACCCGACCAAAGACCAGAAAACAGTGTGTATGAACAGATATAAATCTTTTGGAAACAAGTTTTGTTGAGCAATGAAGTATAAAATTTTCATATCTTTGGTTAAAATTACTTAAAAACATAGATAATACCAAGAACTTCCGTAGAATTCTTCCGAGTAAAGTCCATGTCGTTAGGCTATATTAAGTGTTTCAATATTAATCTCAATACCAAATTCATTTACCACTATATGTAAACTGGAAAAGGAGGGTGTGATGATATTCATGTTATTATGTGTGTATGTTGTTTTTTCATTCGTTTTCTCTATTCAATTAAACATCTTCTTGTAAAAACATAATCAGTAGAACGTGCCAAACACTGACCAATTTCTCAATGTTTGCAGGGAGATCATTTCAATAGATTTTCAATTGTTGTCATGCAGTTTAATTAATATGAGTCGCAGGCAACAGAATAGAACTACCCATTTAACATATATATTTCTTACTAATGCAGGGCTTGAATAAAGATATGATGCTTGAAGATATCAATGGAAGAAAAATGAAAGCATTAGATGTCTTTGCTTGTTGCATTGAATATATAAAGAATAAAGTTTTCAAACGAGCCGAGGAGGCAGTGCGTGGTCTCACAGAAGAGCGGGTACATTGGATGATAACAGTGCCAGCCATTTGGAACGAATCGGCCCGGCAGTTCATTATTGCAGCAGCTACAAAGGTATGGATATTTACACTTTTTCCATATATATAAATAAGTGCATCTTGGTGAAAAAAACTTACATATATTATTGATTCAAAAGTTGAAAACCTGTCTTTAAATTACGGACTGACTTTAGTATAAATATCTTGTCTGATATAATACTAAAAATTTAAAAATAAATCCGTGTGCAATCTCTTCGTATAGGTTCAGATTAAAACGACAGATTCAGTACAGAATCTAATTTCTATGTGGTTGCTACTGTTTTTTGTTGAACGGAAACAAATGGCCGTTATAATTTTGAGAAATTATAGATATTATTGTATTTTTGGGTTCTTTAAAGTGAACCGATAACAAAAAAAAAAAAGAATGAAAAACGATTTTTGAAAAGAACATGAATAGTTCGACATCAATTCCATTCATGTTTGACAAAACTTTCAGTCATACATTAATCAGAAACGAATATCGAATGGCATTGTATGTATGCTAAGTATAAAATATATTTTTCTATAAATTTAGAAATGTTCTCTGACTTTCGCTAAACACTTCCAATTTGTTTATCGTTTATTACGTACATTTCGTATATTCCATTGATTTTGAAGTTGAAAATAAGTAAATTAAGTTTACTATAGAGAGTACCGTTTCTATGGCAAGCCAAAGTGGACAAAAAGAGCTATTTTCTAATATTAGAAAATCATTTTCTTATATTAGAAAATAATTTTTAATATTAAAAAATCATTTTTTAATATAAGAAAATCATTTTCTAATATTAAAAAAGAAAAACACTATTTCTTAATATTAGGACAAGAATTTCTAATATTAGAAAATGAATTTCTAATATTAGAAAATGAATTTCAAATATTAGAAAATGTATTTCTAATATTAGAAAATGAATTTCTAATATTAGAAAATTAATTTCTAATATTAAAAAAAACATTTATTAATATTAAAAATTCCTTTTTTAATATTACAAATTCGAAAGTATTTTCTTATATTAGAAATTCATTTTCTAATATTAATAAATGATTTTTTAATATTAAAAATTCATTTTTTAATATTAGAAATTCATTTTTTAATATTAAGAAATCATTTTCTAATATTAAAAAATCATTTTTTAATATTAAAAATTAAAATCTTCATCATTAAAAAGTTTTGACTTGTTTATTTTATATTTATTATATCTATAACATCTTAATGATTGAAAAAGGAAAAAATGTCTGCCATGTAGTTGAGAAGAAAAATAAAGAAACTGAAGAAGGCCAATGGCCGAAACACTCCATGTTTAAAAAAACGGAATTTAAAAAAATGTCCGAATGTCTAAATTAACTGAATCCGATTTCGCTAAATGATACAAATGACAATAAATTTAAATACCAAATATCATTGACCTAACATTAGCAGTTCATCTTAAACTGATCTAATCACAAACTAATATATATGTTAACTTATACAACTGCAAAACAAATACCATTGAACTACAAATGTACCACTAATGGTTCCCCCTAAACTAAACTAATCACAAGCTAATACATGTAAAATAAGCAAAAGTTTCAAAGTCAATAGACCGTGACTGAGGGGGTAGGGCCAAATAATCTCCATTTATGAAGGACATTTTAAACCTAAAAATGTGTAAGCAATGGATGTATTAAAGTCCTCGAACTATTGGCCGAAAGGAAAGGAAACAACAAATTCATTTTAGGGGGAAATTATACAGTTACGCTGGTAGGAATCTGACCCCAACTAGTTTTGTAGGCAGATTCAGATTACCATAGATGACCTTAAGTGACAAGGCTTAAAGAGAACCGAGACCAACCTTTTATCCAATTGCTTAACAGAAATCAAGTGATAAAAACTGCTCAATACAAATATAGGAGATATGAAAAATAAAAATTAAGGGACGTGATGTACTGCATCATGACACATCTTACACAACCTTAGGAAAACAAATAGTACTTTTATTGCAGTTCTTCATCTGAATGACACAGTAACTAATATTTCACCCTGAAGCTTAAAACAACAATCACATAACTATACTGTTCTATATTTTACTACCTGTACGTCTGAAAAGAATTACAAATTTAGAAGAAAATTGTTATTTCATTTCAAATGCAATTTACTATGTCTAGAAAAAAATATTAACAAGTGTCAATATACTTATTATTAAGCAAATATAAAACAAATAGCTGAGTATGTAAATGTACAAAGAAAGACAAAAAAAGGCCATCTTTACAATCTATATTTGTTGTTTACAACCTATATTTGTTGTTTGGCTGGAACAAAGTCCATTCCAGGCTTGTTGGGTTGACGCTCACTGACATTATTTTATTTACTGTAAATTCAGAAAGTTAGCTTCTACTGTGTTAGTATAACAATAATAAGGGACTTATCATTTTTTACCTGGGAGGGGGCTGGCCATTTTGAAATCAAACATATGAAATTTTCTTAATCCCCCCATAATATTTCACTATTTTTATTTGATCCCCCCCCCCCCCCCCCCCGTAAAAACATTTAAAAAGTGTGATCCTCCCTCTATTAAACTTGCCATAATTTTAACATACAAAACACTTATCATGTTATTTCACGGATATATTGCAAACATGAAATATTCTTAGTGGATTGAGTCCATAAACATATTTGAGGGAAAATTGCTCTTCCATGAATAAGCCAGTGCTTTTGGAAGCTTTTTCTGAATTTTTTTTTCTAATTTCCTATATTGGGCTATTAAAGAAAACTTGGTCCTAAGTAACTCTGTTATAGATATACATTTAAGAATAAACATTTTGAAACAGTAACAACACATTATTTACTAAGAGGAATCTATTTTATTTCCCTCTCATGAACACTACATAAACTCAAGTTTTACGCTAGGCCTTTATATTGAAACCTCCATTGAGTCGGTAAACTTTTATGTGGATAGTTCATGCTTTCAGCTTTAACAATTCAATAACTCATTTATTGTCACATTTCATTCATAAATGTGCGATAGTAACACCAAAATTTAGATTTGTTAGCCTAAAAAATACAAATTTTGAAGGAAAGAAAGGTATAAATTGACCCAAAGGGATATCTTATATAATAAAAACAAATAGGTACATTAGTGTTGTTCATCATCTCAGAATTATCTTTTGTATCAATATTCAACTGTTTGTATGCAGATTAGATGAATATTTGATCATTAATTTTATTGGAGAATTTATTGCTCTACACTATATTCTTTCATTATGCTCCCAATCTAATTAAAATTAAATCTCCGCACTTGCTCCTCGTTGTTTATATGTCGCGCGTGGGAGATCTAACAACAGCCGCTTGAGGGTCATGTCTAGGGTCAAATTTGGTGAACTTTGACCGACCAATCAGTTTCGATTAACCAATCAGCGACGGGCTTGTATACCATTATCGAATCGTTAAAAAACATGGATGCGCCCAGTTTGGACAACGTTTTGCCAAAAGTTTTGCCAAAATTTGGTATAAATGATATAAAGAAGGAACAAAAGGAAATTTTAGAGTGTTTTGTTAACAAGAAGAACTGCGTGGCTGTACTCCCGACTGGTTTTGGCAAGTCACTGCCGTTTCAACTGTACCTTCCAGTTGTCCGGGAATTTGAAAACAGTTCTGACTGGAAAGTTTTAGTCTGTTGTTCCTTAGTAGCTCTGATGCAGGACCAGGAGGAAAAACTCTCGCACATTGGAAATATTACTGCTGCATACAGAGACAGATAAGGCCTCACATCTAGGTATTATAAGATCATCAAAAAATGAAAATATAATAAATGTGAAAGACCGCATTAGTTTAGCCCGAAGAACAACCTATTCACTTATGTCAACAGGTGTACATGGCACAAATGGCTTGAATCCAAGGATTCCCTATAGTATTTATAGAATCTACATATTACCCCGTCTGCTCTACAGTCTAGAAGTTTTACCTCTTACGAACAGCCAAATCAACGACTTGGGTGACTTCCATTTATCCTTCTTAAAAAATATTCAGGCTCTTCCAACACGAACAGCTTCTGCTGCAGTATTCTCACTACTGGGTGCCCTCCCTATAGAGGCCGAGCTCCACAAAAGACAATTAAGCCTTCTGCATTCAATCCTAGCGTCTGAAAATCAAAATCTTAGGGATATCTTGTTGCGTCAGTACCGGTTAGAAATTTGCAATGGAACTTTTCTACACAGAACAGAAAATGTCCTGCTTCAATATAGCCTACCAAGCATTGATGAGCTTCTAATATTTCTTCCAACAAAAATTAAATGGAAACAATCCGTTAGACATGCTATTAATACATTTTGGAGTAATAAATTTAGGTCTTTGAGTAGAGAAAAATCAACCCTGATTAGGCTCTGTACTGACATTATCAATATAGGAGAAATACATCCAGTTTGGAAAACAGCAACAGAAATTCCGGGGGATACAAAGAAAGCCATAACAAAAGCTAGAATACTAACTGGGACCTACCTTTTACAATCAACCAAAGCTAAATTTAATATAGGAAGTGCAGACCCAATTTGCCCCCTTTGCAAACTCGAGGAAGAAAACCTTCTACATTTCCTAACTAGATGTCCATCTCTGGAAGGGGTCCGTAGGACTTTTTATGCCCCATTAAAACAGGCTGTTATAAATAAAATTGGGATTGATCAGTGGAAAACAAATTTTCAAAATAGGGAAACATTAAGCCAATTAATTGTTGACTGCAGAAAACTAGCGGGTTCTATACTTCCAAACGACAACAATTTTTTAAATATGGTTGAAACAATTTCTAGGAATCTGTGTGATAAATTACATCAACAGAGGTTAAGTCAGATTAATGATCTATCATAATATAAACATCCATTAATAATAACATGGAATTGAGCTTTCTTTCGATCCTTTTCAGAGCACAAAATAGTGGCGTACATAAAGAACAGTTAGAAGTGAGAAGTACATGGAGGACAGTTGAGATATATATGTACTTGGGAATACGTTGATATTAACAATAATATACGTAATATACAGACAATTGCTGTATCAAAGTGGTAGCTGAT